CCTGGAGATGCAACAGAAATACAGGTCTGTTTATCAGCATTAAAGACAACATTTTAAACCTGTAGGGCCTGACATGAAGAAAAATTTGAGTGTCATATTTGATAAATCAGGCTTTTATGGGTCATATAGTATGATATTAAAAAAAAAAAAACATACATTTCATTTAGAAGCCCAAACTGAACTATGCAATTTGGTGCAGTTGCTGTTATTTCATGTGGCCAAAAAGATTCTGAAGCCTGTTACTTGTAATGTAAACAGTGAGATCTTTATAACCGTTAAGATGACTACTTGCATAAAAAACAAGAATTGTCACTCTATAATTTCCAATAATATGTCTTACTAAGATATTTATGATCTAAGCTCTGTAGTTTTTATTGTTGGGGCCAAAACATATAATACAATGATTATTGAGATGTGAACAAATAAACGTTCGCTAAGCGGTCCCTAATGTATCATTTGATACATTTTAACATGATTTTTCTAAAAATGATGCATGAATAATCGAGTAAACCTAATCAGGCAAGTGTTCATTTAAAACATAAAAAAAAACATTTTAAACCTGTAGGGCCTGACATGAAGAAAAATTTGAGTGTCATATTTGATAAATCAGGCTTTTATGGGTCATATAGTATGATATTAAAAAAAAAAAAACATACATTTCATTTAGAAGCCCAAACTGAACTATGCAATTTGGTGCAGTTGCTGTTATTTCATGTGGCCAAAAAGATTCTGAAGCCTGTTACTTGTAATGTAAACAGTGAGATCTTTATAACCGTTAAGATGACTACTTGCATAAAAAACAAGAATTGTCACTCTATAATTTCCAATAATATGTCTTACTAAGATATTTATGATCTAAGCTCTGTAGTTTTTATTGTTGGGGCCAAAACATATAATACAATGATTATTGAGATGTGAACAAATAAACGTTCGCTAAGCGAACCCTAATGTATCATTTGATACATTTTAACATGATTTTTCTAAAAATGATGCATGAATAATCGAGTAAACCTAATCAGGCAAGTGTTCATTTAAAACATAAAAAAAAAAAAATCTTGTTGATTGATATCACTTTTGAGTCCATGACACAACTAACATTACTAGCCAATCAGAATGTGTTGCCCTTATAAACACGAGACTCGCATAATAGTATCCAATTGCGGAGTCGCAGCCCTGATGAATGGAGAAGTGCGACAAAAAGCTGCGAGGCGCAATGGTCAAAGATGTCCATCTAGCACGTATTTACATAGGATAACTAATTAAAAAACAGCGGAGCTTTGTAAACGGCTCAGAGTAATCATGTCATCTCCACAAGAACGATATGATTGCCAGAACAAATTTACCGGGATTTTTGAAAAGGTCCTGCTCGCACATGATCTATTAATGGTAACTTACCGGTAATTTACCAGTAAAGACTGTATGTGTGAAAGGGGCTAAACTCTTTCTCTGCATATGCTGTGAATTTGAATTGCTTAACATTCATCTGGAAAAACAGTGTGCATTATCTCACTAGATTTGTAACGTAAATCATTTATAAACCTTTGCCAACACAGGAGAATACATCAACCTGTTTCTAAATATGCCATGTACATCGCAATTTCAAAATAAAAGACAATAAATACAAATATTTTGTCATTGAAAATTTCTTAAAAATAGTATTAAATAAAATATTGTCACGTGCGGAGTCGCAGCCCTGATGAATGGAGAAGCGTGACAAAAAGCTGCGAGGCGCAATGGTCAAAGATGTCCATCTAGCGCGTATTTACATAGGATAACTAATTAAAAAGCAGCTGAGATTTGTAAACCGCTCAGAGTAATCATGTCATCTCCACAAGAACGATATGATTGCAGAACAAATTTACCTGGTTTTTTGAAAAGGTCCTGCTCGCACATGATCTATTAATGGTAACTTACCGGTAATTTACCAGTAAAGACTGTATGTGTGAAAGGGGCTAAACTCTTTCTCTGCATATGCTGTGAATTTGAATTGCTTAACATTCATCTGGAAAAACAGTGTGCATTATCTCACTAGATTTGTAACGTAAATCATTTATAAACCTTTGCCAACACAGGAGAATACATCAACCTGTTTCTAAATATGCCATGTACATCGCAATTTCAAAATAAAAGACAATAAATACAAATATTTTGTCATTGAAAATTTCTTAAAAATAGTATTAAATAAAATATTGTCACGTTCTAGTGAACCAAGTATCTGTATTTTGTCTCATCTCGTGAGCTAAGTGTATTGTCACACCCTTAGTGTTGATAAGCGGTGATATAGCTCATAATTTTCCAAGTGTATGATACAGCTT